AAGCTGCGATTATTTTAATCGCGGCTTCATTTCCCTCTTCCGATCTGGCTAATCTACATGCCTCCGTCGAAGGAGGCATGTAGTCTAGACACACCCTATGTGTCCTTACTACTGTGGCAGGGTTAGGCTACAGGGCTACTATAGAGGGGGGAAAAGGCATCCCAAAAAGGGTAAAAGACCTGTAAATAGAAGCAGAAGGCTGCAGGACAATTAGATGCAGCTGGGAGGGAGCTGGTTCAGGCAGATTGGTACCAGTTGACTCCACTGTTGGCAGGCTGAAGGCCTTTAAAAAGCCTCAGCAGTTGGAAGCTGGAGAGAAGAGTGAGAGGATGGGAAGAAAGACGAGGAGTGAAAGGTTAGAAAGCAATTCATAACAGCATTAGAACAGAAACAGCTGAGGAAGGGAATTCCAGAAAGAGTGGCTGGGCTCCCTACCACAGAGACCTGCTGCATACCCCAACTCCTGGGGTTGGGAGCAAGAGGCTGGCACCAGAAGTGGCCTGGGTAAGAGGGACCCTTGCCACACTGGCCATCTGAAAAAACAAGCTGTCACTCATTTGCAAATCTTCTTAAGTTAATTTAAGAAGTTCACACAGAGAGGCAGTCTACATTAAAGTTTTTCTCATGGGAAAATCCAAGAGGGCATTGACATGTTCTGAGCAAAGACAAAACTCAGGAATCTCCTCTTTATTCACTCATCCCTTTGGCATCCTAATCACCATGAATATGTCTGTGAACAGAAAAGTAAGACCTAAAGCTAGGACATAAACACTTTTGAAGCATCTCTAGATTCCCATTATCTAAAAGTGAGAGTCTAAATCTGTTATTCAGCACTAATTTCTAAATCCTGTGCTTGGCAAGAGAATGTCTCCCTTAAAGTAATTGATTAAGTTGAAAACAATGCATTCAGTGCCAGAATCCTCAATGACACATTAACATAGAGGGTACTCACAGCTGTGGGTGCGCTGAGAAGGAGATCCTAAAACTGTGGCTCTAGGCTTACCTTCTGTACCCCTTTCCTCCTGCCAGTGTGTTAATTTAGTCTGTCTCAGCATCAATTTTAGTGGAATCATAGCATCTTTCTTGGCACTAGTAGTTTTGGTGTCTGCAGAGCCTTCACAGTAAAATAATAAACAGATTTCTTCAATTTTGATGTCTTATAAAGGGGCTTCTCTAGATTTTATAATCATTCCAAAACCTGGTTTGCCATTGTTAGAGGCTTCTCCTATTTCTACTCAATTTAAATTTCCTCTGTATGAAGGATCTAGGGAAGTTGTGATGAAGATTGAGAAAACAATATTCTATGCAAAATTTTAAAATCCCCCAGATTTGTTCCATCAATAGAAACATTCTGTCTTCTGACCCTGATTTCTACTTCAGACTCTAACAGGAACTATCTTTCTAAGAAGGAAGCAAATCATGAAAAAAGAGAAAGATACAAAAGCTACAGAATTTAGGGCAAGATTCCCCATAATGCCCGGGATAGACAGGTAAACTTTATTAAAAATTCTCTGGTGTCCCTCAATTTAGATTATGGAATAGAAGAACAAAAGAATTGCAGTAATGAAGAAGAGGTACCAGTCCATCAGGAAAATTAATCTGAACCTCCATACTGATAATCTTCTTTACTTGATAAGATAGTTTCATCCCTTGTTCCTTTGACTACTGATAATTTAAAAACCTTTCAGTAATTATTGAAGAACATAGTGGAAACACATGAAAAGGAATTCATTTATCTAATATGTTACAAACAACAACTCAATGAAGGTTTCTTTCAATAGATGAAATTATTTTGGGGCAGGGGAAAGATCTTTGGGCTACTCTTGCTTCAGTTTCAAAACTTCAAAATAAGCTGGTAGTAGATACAACATCAAGTTCTTTCTAAAAGTTTGAGTATTCTGATATTCATACATATCTCTCTTCTCTGGTCATGATTACTGTAAATAAGGAAAAAAAGGAAAGTTAATTCCCAAAGAAATAGAAATAAAAATTAGAAATGTTTGGAAGAAAAAAAATTATTCATCACCCTGTCTATTGTGGGTCATTAAGCTACATTATCTATGATTATCGATAATGGGACAGAATGCCTGACTTTCAAGAAAAGTTAGCTACTCAGGTGAGTTCACATCAATTTATGCAGTAGGACAATTGATTGCTAAGAATTCTTTTAATCTGTTCTAGTTGTAGTTGGTGGTGGTGTCCATTCAATGACTACAACTGTGGTTTTGAGAGGTGAACAAAAGATATGAGCCCCAGCATCTCCAGGGTTGCTGTACCAGTTAAAGTAAAAACTGCTTAAGCCCCAGAATCCAATTGCTTGAACCCTGGCACCTCTTCCTTTGCAAATTAAGTGGTATTGTGGAGTGATAACAGAATCATTTCAGTCTCTGCTTTTCATTTTCTGGGGAGAAAAAAAAACAATTCAGTAGACTAAGTAGAAAAGAAACCTTATTGCACAAATGGGATTTAAAATATTTATTGCTGTACTGAAACTTTCAAAAGATTGTGGGAGTGAAGGAATGTAGTGTTTTTATTGCCATTAGGAAAAGACGCCTGGTGACATGAAAGCCATGAGTTCAATCCCTACTGGACTCTTCTGAAAATATTCCAGGTTACTGAATTAAAGTGCTTCCATACCATGAGTAGGTTCCACATATCTTGAAGGATCATAATTACTATAGGTATGCAACCAACTGTAAGTATGCTATCATAAAATAAAAATGTATAACTGTGGTTCTATAGATCAGCTGCTCCACATAAAGCTTCATGTCACAACATGAACACAAGAACTAGGTTCACCAAATGAAATTAATAGATAGAAGATTTAAAACAAACAAAAGGAAGTATGTCATCACACAACACACACAACCTATGGAACTCCTTGCCAGAGGATGTTGTGAAGACCAGGACTTTAATGGGTTCAAAAAAGAACTAGATACATTCATTCATGGAGAATAGGTCATAATGGCTATTAGTCAGGATGGATAGGAATGGTGTCCCTACCTTCTGTTTGTCAGAAGCTAGGAAATGGGTGAGGGGGAGGGATCACTTAATGATGTACTGTTATGTTCATTCTCTCTGAGGCACCTGGCTTTGTCCACAGTTGGAAGACAAAATATTGAACTGGATGGACCTTTGATCTAACCTAGTACAGCCATTCTTATGTTCTTATCCCCAGAGAAGCCACAAAAGAGCTAAAAACATGACTGCAGTTGCTGTCATATGAGTGTCCATATCTTTCAAGCATCCTCCAGAGCTGTCTCTGACACTGGCTCAAAAGCTATGTCTACACTACAGAGTTTTTTCAGAAAAACGGCTTTTTCCCGAAAAAACTTCACTTACATCCAAACTACAATCGTGTTCTTTCAAAAAAAAAAATTGAGAGAACAGAGGGTTTTTTCTGACATTGGTAAACCTCTTTCTATGAGAAAGAAGCCTTTTTCCGAAAGAGCTCTTCTGGAAAAAGGCATGTGTGGATGATGAAGAGGGAGTTATTTCGAAAGAAGAGTGAAGAGGAAAAAGCACAGGTGCCCTGGTGGCCACTCCGTCCATAGTAATCACAGCTTAAATGCTAGATAGCATCCATTCAGTGTGGATGCTATCTTTCAAAAAAGCAGTTCGCTTTTTTGATGTGCTTTGTCAGTGTGAATGCTCGCTTTCAGAAGAAGTTTTGTCGGAAGATCTCGTCCAGAAAAGCTTCTTCTGAAAGAAGCTTGCAGTCTAGACAAATATTTGACAGTTGACACCTGCTCAATGTCCTTCCTGGACAGCTTAACACTGAGCTGGTTGCATTCTGGAGCAGGATGTCTCACCCATTCAGTTTTTTTCCATTTGCTCTCGACAAACATGAAATTGAAGATTCAAGTTATAGCCTGACTTTTTTTCTTCTCTCTGGCAACAGTAAGCATCTCCTTTCTGATCCGTGGCTGTTTGTACGGCTGTGGCCCCTGCACTTAGCTGACAGCAGTCAGAACCAATGACTTGAAATAATGCTATCCTCCTCAGATGACAGAAAGGGTTAGATTTCAGTTTCTAATGCTTTGTTGTCTTAAACAGAACAGAAACCCCTTTGATAGGTTGGCTATAATACAAGCTTTTGGTTATCTGGACCAATTTTTGCTCATAAACTGGCTTTCTTCAAAGTTTTTGTCAGCAGAGACAGATGATCAGTGTCAAATTCAGCTTTTTCTGAGAACTCACTGTCATGATTATGAGGGTTAGCCAGCAGCCTGGGGATTAAGAGGTTAACTACACCTAGCCAGGTGTAGTGACCAATAGGAATGTAGGTGGGACTTTTCAAACTGGGACAAAGGAATTTGTTTTTTTTTTTCTTTCTCCCTTTTGTCTCTCTGAGGGAGTTCTCTGCAGCTACAGAAAGGGACAAGCATGTCTCTCTCTCTCTCTCCAAGACACCATTCTTCATTTTCTGTAAGTAGGGTAAAGTTTAGGTAGTTTCGTTAGGTTTTATTGTTTTAAGGATTGGGTATGGGATTTGAGATCTGGCACTGCTTAAAAGATGTTTTGGCTTTTCTTTGTAACTAAGTTCTAGGCCCATGGAGTTTCTCCATGAGTATATTTTGTTACCTCCCTATCTAGTCATTATGTTTGCAACAGGAATATTGTTGTAGTAATAAAAGTTCTTTCTTTTCTTTTTATTAACCTGGCAGTGGTTAATTGTGTGCCTTGATTTTTATCTTAGGGGTGAGATTTCCCAAATGATCTTCCCCCTGATTTCTTTATCAGCATTTGGGTGATGGCAGCGGAAGTTATTCCCAAGATCTAGGTTTTTAAGATTTTGGGGGAAGTTTTATACCAAATCCTGGTATATAAGGCTTTGGGGTACACTTGCTGGCCCCCACTTCTGCATCTATCATGCCAGAGTGGGGAAGGAGCCATGACACTCACCACCAATGATTGAGGATAGTACTAGTGAAATGATCTGGCTGTTCTATGTTATCTTGTGAAACTTTGCATGATGGAAAAGTAAGTCAGCAGTCACTGTGTCACTAGGAGGTGAAAATTCCACCAGTTACTATTTATTCCTGTTCTTCTGCCTGATAACAAACCTCAAAGTGTATTTGCCTTTCCTCCTGTGCATTGAAGTTACTCTTGGCCATGATGACTTCTCTTTTTCAAGTTTCATTAGGGATTAGCTGCAGTTGCTGGAAAATATATATTGTCTACTGTGACTCTAGCTTTACTTTTCTTATTCTTGCCAAATGATATTTTGCTAAGGTGTTTTTTTTTTGTGATGTTCTCTTTGACACGACATTTTACTATTAACATTTACATACATAGAGTAAGTGACCAGGGAGGCAGTCATTTTAGAGTTTATTCTGACAAATAGAAAGGACATGGTTGCAGATCTGAAGAGACAATTTGTGGGAGACAATTTGTGTGAAAGTGATCAAGAAATGTTAGATTTCATGATTCTAAGGGAAGAGAGCAATGGGAACAGCAGAGTAAGGATGATGAAAATCAATAAAGGCAACTTTATACCTTTCAGAGAATCTCTAGGTAACATCCCATGAAAATAAAATCAACAAGTTCAGGGAAAACAAGTTTAGTTTCTCAGGGACAATACTAAGGAAGCAACAGCAAAGAAAAGATCGTTTGAACAGTAAGAAGCCAATATGGCTCCTCTAGGACCTGAAAATCAACAAGGAATCACACAAAAATTGGAAACACTGATTGATTGCCAAGAATGGCTACAGAAGTGCAGCAAAAACACATAAGAACAAAAACAAAAAAAGAGAGAGCAGCAGAGCTCCTGGGTCAGAATAGTCAGAGAAAGGATCACTCCACAACACTCTGGCCACTCAGTCTGTATTGTCAATGTTTGTGTGATTCCCTGTGCAAAAGGGAACAAGTTCCCTGAATCCTCCCATTCAACTCTTTGGCTCTGGCCCCCAGCCTCTCCTCGGAGCTGCGCTGTACAGGCTCCTAAACAGCCTGCACTACAAAGGCAAGCCAGTGGGAGCCAGCCCCAAGCTTCCCAGCAGCCTCTTAGAGATCCCTTAACTTGCTTTCTGAAGTCGAGTGGGAGCAGGGTTGAGGGCACCCCAGGGCATGCTGCAGCACACTGCACCCCATGCACTCTGGGGAAGCTCTTCACCCCACCACAGCTTGCCACAGTCAGGCTGGTGACTGTGTTTTCCCTCTAAAACCTACGTTTTATGTCAAATTCCAAAGCAAACAGACAAACAAAAACATCTTCACTATAGAGCACATTTTAAAAACTAAGAATTTCAACGTTTCATTTCACTAGTTTGAAAGCCCTTGGGACAGGTGTCCTGAATATCCTCAGAACAAGTGCACAGGGGCATTTTCCTGCTAATGTGACTTAACCTGGAGGCAGAGAGCCCAATTTTTTACTCTTTACTCCAGTCTCTTTCCCCATACAGTCCGAGGTCTGCATCCTCCACACCAAATCTGTGTCAGCTCCACATCACGTATATAGATCCTTGTCTAATCTCATTGTTCACCCTTCCCAGCCAACTGGCTCCCACTCTTGCCTCATCACCCCTTCCTTCCATGAACCCCATTGCCAATATCCTTTCCCAGCTAGTCTCAGACTCTCGTCTGCTCTGCTAGGAATCCAACTCTCTGCTCAATCTGTCTCAATTTTTCATCTCCCCCCCCCCCCCCCCCCCAACTGCTTCCAATACCTCCGCTCCCCTCACAGCTATAATTTGCTCTTTTTACTCCAGTGCTCACCAGAATGGTTAATCCAATCTACTCCTCTCCCTTCCTTTCTGGTTTAGCTTTTTGTCAGATTACTTCTTCTGCATTGCCTGAATGCCAACCAGTGTGTTTGTTAGAGAGAAGGTATCACTGTGAGCACAGAAAACAGAGGCTTCCTAGTCTCAGTTCTGGTGCTCAGCCATACACCACTCTACAGTAGCTGGGAGCAGTCATTACAAACAAAATTTGTCTTAATCCCTGTTGCTTTGGGCCTTCTATTGCTCTGCAGGGATGGTGCTCATGTAGTATAGTCAAATGAAGGAGCTATGAAGAGAAGGAATATGTTTAGTTTCGCTGTGGGAATGGCACTTGTGCCATCTGTTCAGCACTAGGAGATTCAAGCATGCTCAGTGAAGTTAGAATCTTCTAAGATTTTTTAAGATAAAACTAAACAAAGTCTCTATTGATATATGTGCATACAGTGATTATTCAAAGTCTCCTAACTTGGCTGAATTTGGGGTAGATTTTCAGAGAGGTATCAAATACCATGTCCCTGACACAAAATCTCTCTCTTTGTCAAATCTCAATCCCTTGCTCCAAAGAAAAGGGTTCTAGAGCTGCTGAAAGGTCACCAGACTATTTTAAAAGGGGAAGAACAGTATATTTTTCTTACCCTCATGTTCTTATGTATAGGGCCTTACCAAATTCATAATCATGAAAAACACATCCTGGACAGTAAAATCTGCTCTCCCAGCATGTAATTGAGTTTTTTGTGTGTTTTTACTCTGTGCTACACAGATTTCACAGGGAGGACCAGCATTGCTCAAATTGGGGTTCTGACACAAAAGGGAGTTGCAGGAGCACTGCAAGGTTATTTTAGGAGGAGTTGCGCTATTGCCTCCCTTATATCTGTGCTGCCTTTTGAGCGGGGAGACTGGAGAGCAGAGGCTGTCAGCCATGCGCCCAGCTCTGAAGGCAATGTCTCACAATCAGCTGCACAGAAGTAAGAGAGACAATACTACACTACACCCTTAGTACTGAAATGCTACTCTCAGAATTGGGGGAGAGGGGAGGCAGAGAGTGACAACTGATGAATGAGGGCCCAGCTCTTCAGGCAGCAGGAACACAGAAGTCAGGGTGGCAATACCATACATTGCCATCTTTATTTCTGCACTGCTGTTGGAAGCAACTTTGCTTTGAAAGGTGGGCTTCTGGCCAGCAATCACCAATCTCCTAATGCACCCTAATATGCCATTAGCCTTCTTAGTTACAAGGGCACACTGTTGACTCATATCCAGCTTCTCATCCACTGTAATCCCCAGGTCCCTTTTGGCTGAACTGCTGCTTAGCTAGTCGGTCCCTAGCCTGTAAGAGTGCTTGGGATTCTTTCATCACAAGTGCAGGATTCTGCACACGTCCTTGTTGAACTTCATCAGATTTCTTCTGGTCTGATCCTCCAATCTGCCTAGGTCACTCTGGACCCTATCCCTGCCCTCCAATGTATCTACCTCTCCCTCTAACTTTGTGTCATCTGCGAACTTGTTAAGGGTGCAATTCATTCCCTCAGCCAGGTCATTAATAAAGATGTTGAAGAAAACCAGCCTTAGAACCAACCCTTGGTGCACTCCATTTGATAGCGGCTGCTAACCAGTCATTGAGTCGTTGATCACTACCCACTGAGCCCAACCATCTAGCCAGCTTTCTATCCATCTTAGAGTCTATGTATCCAATCCATACTTCCTGAACTTGCTTGCAAAAATTCTGTGAGAGACTGTATCAAAAGCTTTGCTACAGTCAAGGCAGATCACAACCACTGATTTCACCATGTCCATAGCGTCAGTTACCTTGTCGTAGAAAGCAATCAGGTTGGTCAGCCGTGACTTGCCCTTGGTGAATACATATTGACTATTCCTGATCACATTCCCCTCTTCCAAGTGCTTCAGAATGGATTCCTTGAGGATCCCCTCCATGATTTTTCTGAGGACTGAGGTGAGGCTGAGCAGTCTGTAGTTCCCTGGATTGTCCTTCTTCCCTTTTTAAAGATGGGCACTACATTTGCCTTTTTACAGTCATCTGGGACCTCCTCCGATCTCCACAAGTTTTCAAAGATAATGGCCAAAGGCTCTGCAATGATGTTTGTCAACTCCCTCAGTACTCTCGGATGCATTACATCCAGCCCTTAAGATTTGTGTACGTCTAACTTTTCTGAATACTTCTTAATCTATTATTTTTCCACCAACGGCTGCCCACCTCCTTCCCATACTGTGTTGCCTAATTCAGTAGTTTAGGAGCTGGCCATGTCATCCGTCACTAGGTTACCTCCTTCATCCAGTAAGGGTCCCACACCTTGCTTGATCACCCTGTTATGGTTAGCACGCCTTCACATCCCTTGCTAACGGCAATTTAAATTGTGCTTTGACCTTCCTGATTAAACCCCTGCATGCTTGAGCAATATATTCATGCTTTTTCCTAATTGTCTGTCCAAGTTTCCACTTCTTGCATGCTTCCATTTTCTATTTAGGCTCGCCAAGGATTTCACCGTAAAGCCAAGCTGGTCACCTAACATATTCTTCTCAGCTTTAGCTCCATGTTCATATTTTTAAAGTCAATCCAAATCCCAACCTCCAAATGAGCCTTGTACTTGTCCCTAAATATCAAGAAATTGGACTCTGATGGAATATAAAGGGGTAGTTCCAGAGAAAGGGCGCTTTATTGAATATCAAATAATAGAAATGTACATTTGGAAGAGATTTAAAGAGGTCATCCAGCTCAGCCTTCTGCACTGAGGAAGTATAAAGTACACCTAGCCCAACCCTGGCAGGTGTTTGTCTAACTGTCCTTAAAAACCTGGGAATTTTTACAACATTCTGGGGATTATAAAACATCCTTTAAAGATTTATTCCAATTATCTTTATACCTAGAAAGCTTTTCATAATAGCTAATCTAAATCTTCCTGGCTGCAGATTTAGTTCATTATGTCTGGTCTTATCTTCATTGGGCATGGAAAACATCAGAGCATTGTCCTCTTTATAACAGTCCTTCACATATTTGGAAAACTGTTATTAGGACCTCTGTTGGTCTTCTTTTCTCAAGACTAAGCATGCCCAGTTATTTAAAACTTTCCTCAGAGGTCAGGTGTGCCAAAACTTTTATCATGTTTGCCACTCTTCCCTGGACACTTTTATCATGTTTGTCCACTCCTTTCGTAGTGTATGGAACCCAGAAGTGGATACAGTTCTCCAGCAGAGACCACACTCATGCTGAGTATCTGGGCTGCATGCATTATCAGGGCAGTACGGGTGAGTCCGCACCAAACTCTATCCATTATACTAAGCCTGGGTGTCCCTGAACATGCAGCCCCCTGGGGAACAGGGGAAGGACAGTGCAAGGGCTTAGAGAGTGGAATGGAATCAAGATGGCCACCCTGAATAGAGGAGGGTGGTTCCCAGCTCATCACAGCAGGAGGAGGGATGACCTCCAAATTCCTGTGACTGGGAACCACCTCCTTGTCAGCGTTGCTTCCTAGTCTGGGTGAGCTCTGCTGAACAGCAAGGAGGAGCTGAAGCAGGAGTTGCAACTGTTGCAAGAGGATCCAGAAAGGCCAGTGCTCTCAGCCAGGCAGTAATGGCACTTCTGGCCTCTGCACAGGCTGCTGGCAGTTCTGCTTCTCTCTTTCAGCTCTGCAGAGACCAGCAGCCAGACAAGCAGAGAATTATCCCAGTGCCAGCTACCTAGAGCCAGCCAAGGCCTCTACAGGATTCCCGACTAAGTAGCTAGGAAACTGAATGAAATCCTTATTTGTTTTTTTCTGAACATTTCAACATTTGCAGCATGGTTACTCATCAGTCTGGCTGATCCTAGATATTCCGTATGCCCAGAAAGATGTCAGGGAGGGAACAGGGAGCTGTGGCACACTGTGAATGGTGCAAGGTGACAAATTGGATGGTCTACTAATGTTTAAGTATGCATTAGTGAATCTTAATCTCTACCTCCTGTAGAACCAGTTTTCTGTCCCAATAAAGTGCCCCCTCCCCATTTTTACACTGTTGTTTTTGGGAATAGAACATAATTTGTTGGAATTTGTATGAATGTATTTTGTTTCTTCTGCACTGGCTCAAACTTGCAGTATTAGTTATTTTTCCTGTCAGGAATTGCAGTTAGTTGTTTTTCCAAGGCAGCCCCCACATCTTTGTGTCCATGCACAAAGTGGATGGAGGAAGAAACATCATAGGAAAGAAGTCAGGACCCAAGCCATGTGGAAGAAAGAAGAAGCCACTCCAATTAGCAAAGAGTAGGCTAGAGCCACACATCGTGGAAGGGTTACAAATGTATTCCTTCAGTCACTTTCACATTGTCTCCTATTCCTTCTTAGCTAATCTAATCTATAGGAGGACAAATTCCTCTTTACTGTCAGTATAACTGTCTTCACTCTGGCTGATGTTCTAGATCCATATATACATTGCCTATTTGCATAGTGTTTGGCCTGTGTGTTGAGTCAAACTGTTCCCACTTCAGGCTAGCTACAAGTTTATGAAATGCTTGGTTAATCTATAATTCATTATTGCTTGAAAAATGAAACAGTATTTATTAGGAAGGCAAAATGTATTAGACAGTGTGTGTTCTGAGATTTGGAAAGAATTAAAAGAAAAATCCTTTCTATTTAATCTATTCAGAAACAGTTTTTGTTCTAATATGTTATTAAAATTCCCTTTTCTGTCTTAGAATGTAAGCCACTAGGGGTATGTACAGCACAACTACAGTATAAATGGATACTAATAAATTATGTGCTTTCCAAATTCAGTTCTGAGGGTAAAAATAACAGACCGCCTACTGTAATGTCCTTACTGTTGCAACAGAAGCATATGAATTTATGCAGCTACTTAAGAAATCTAAATCAGGGCAGTCTATCTCTCTTCCTCTGCTAATCAAAAGAAGCTTATATCATTTCAAACAAAGGCTTGAAAAAAAAAAAGGTAACGGTCTTGTCTCCATCGCTAAAGGAATCCAATCTTGTAGGAACAATAACATTTCAATATAATGAAATGCCTGCTACACTAAATGAAGAATTATCCATGACCTAAAATGGGGTGTAGATGAAATGTCCCTTCATGTACCGTTGTTACTGATCTATGTCTCCCTCTTATTCTATAATATCTGATCTTTTCTCTGTGAGATAGGGTGCATTTATACTGCACCCTTAGCTTGAAATGAGCTACACAATTTGAGCTATGCAAATTGCATAGCTTATTTCGAGTTAATTTTAAAATAGCTTATTTTGCAATTTGGTACTGTCTACACAGCACCAAAATTTGAAATAAACTGCTATTACAAAACATCCCTTAATCCTTGCAGAATGAGTTTTACTGGGATGTTGAAATAGCATACCCATTATTTTGAAAGGTATTTTGAAATAACAAGTGCACTGTTAAGATGCAGAATAGGTATTTTGGGATACTGGAAGTATCTTGAAATAGCACCACAGTGTAGCTGTGCCCATACACAAAACCAGGATCTTAGGCTAACTTAATCCAATTTACAAGAGTACAATATTATGACTGGTTTGATTTGATGTCACTGTATTTGTTTATATTTAAAAGGGTTTGCATCACCGAAAGATGCTTGTATCCACAATTACAGTGAGTTATATGTCTGCTGAGGATCTTAAACTGTGACTGCAACACATGAGGTGGATTGCCAATCTTTGGCTGGAGTGGGAATGGGGTTTGGAAAATGTGGTCTGAAAAAAGGGATCACTAATAAATTTCTGAATGATTGTGCATGTGCAGAAGTCAGCATTGCATGCGCAGCTCTGGTCTCTATATATTTTTACACTATGGTCATTACTATACTATCATGTGCCGAAAGTCTTCGTCTGCTATGTACATTGGACAAACATCTCAGACACTTCGCCAAAGGATTAATGCCCACAAAACAGATATCAGACAAGATCACAAAGAGAAAACAGTTTCTTGCCACTTTAACCAGAAAGGACACGCTCTAAATGACTTAGCCACCTGCATTCTGCTACAAAGACCTTTTACATCTGCACTTGAAAGGGAATCCTCTGAACTGTCATTCATGTTAAAATTCGACACTTGCCAACAAGGACTTAACAAGAATTTGAACTATCTCACCCATTACCAAGACAGTTTCCCTAATTATCACCTCTAATACCATTAACTCACAAACATCCCACTCTCCCTACCTTTAATATCAGCAATTCACAGACACTTACCTTCCTTCCTCCCCCTCCCCCCCCCCCCCCCCCCCCGCATTCCCCTTCTGTTCTGCAATGTGATTTGTCCTTTTCATATTTGTTCATTTTTTTAATTGTATCCTTTGGTATATATGGTTGTGACTACTTTCTTCCACTATTTGATCTGAGGAAGTGGGTCTGGCCCACGAAAGCTCATCATCTAATAAACCATCTTGTTAGTCTTTAAAGTGCTACATTGTCCTGCATTTTGCTTCTACTATACTATCTGGTTTTCACCCTACCAATCTTCTGCCAGCTCTGGTAAAAGGGCAGGATTCCTCCTGATGCAGAAGCAGCACAGATGTGATGTAAGTGGGCCTCTGCTACTTTCCCCCTCACAGTCTACTCTACCCTACATGTCAGCCTGGACAGACAAAAACTATGTAGTTAAAAATTACCAAAATACCCCTTCATCTTTCTTTTGGACTGTACCTTCTATACTGAACATCTTGGAATACGCAGCATTGAATTTATCCCTCAAAATAAAATTTCTCTCTAAAAAAGTGCAGATGGCTTTTCTGCCTCTGGGATCCTCCTTTTCATGAGTCCGTGTAACCGAATTAGAGCAGTGGAGATGGGTCAATAAGGCCTTCCTAGTTACTTTATAGAAGACACAAGTGGTATGGATGGGTACTCTAATGAGGTAATTGGATGAGCTTTTCTTTTGCCTATTCTGCAGAGAATGGTGTTTCTTACAGATTATAATGAGGACATCTTGTATGCCTGTTGGGATGAGAAGTGCAATTTGTCCCCGAGTTATCCAAAACAATGGCTGATTAAGCATACTTGGGCAGAGGTGCATGTGTGACATTGCTACAGGCAAGCAGAGACTTTTGTACAATTACCATAAGATAACTAGTGATGTTAAGAGCTTTTCCTACCAAAAGAACAGGTTTGTACTGTAACTCTTGTCTCTAGTTATGTTGCTGTCTGAAGGTTGTTACTGCTATTGGATGATAATAATAAAAATGCATGTGAAAGGTTGGTATTTGTTAGCTGTAGTCTCTTTGGATTATGCTAGAAATGCTGTGCTGTTTCACTGTATCTTATCGCCTGTAAGCATAAGACAATAAATTATGTAGAGGACATTTCCTATAATGGCAGAGAATAGCCAGCATATTTATGTTTGAGACAGAGCACTGCTTTCAGCAGGTATAGAATCCCCTATTTTTGTATCCTAAATGGACTTTCCTCAAGTAGTAGTGCCACTGTGGAACAGAAAGCAATCAATAGCTTTTCCTTATGCTTGAGTTACACAGTTACTCAAAAAAATAAAGGACTGTGTGTAGCAGCTACTGCCACATATTGTGTATCTACTGTTTTTTCACAAAGTAGATTCTAAAGTTAGAAGGGACTATTTTCATCTACTCTTACTACCACTATACCACAGCCCATAGAACTTCATTGAAATACTTTCAAGATATGATGTTACAAAAAAAAATCAAATGTAATTAAATGTCTGTGGTGCATTCTCCATCACTAACAACTCTTGGTAAATTGTTCCAGTGGTTGGTTATTCTTACCAATAAAAAAGGTGCTTTAATTCTAATCTGAATTTCTATAACTTCAGCTTCTAGCTAGTAGATCCAGCTATACCTTTCCTTGTTAGATTGAGAGTCCATTATGTGTGGAATACAGGACTATGTAGCACTTTAAACTAGTAGATAATGTGTCTGATAGTGATTGAATCCTTTGAGTCTATCTATTTATCTTAAAACAAGATTAAGGGATTACTTGATCATAGTCTATAAGTAGAAGTTAATAATGTTAGACATTTTAAAATCAGCAGTTCTAGATAACTTGCATTCAAGAGTTTAAAGAGAGTGGGCTAAAGGAGCTTATTGGCCTGTTAATGTTGATTTTCAGTAAGTCTTGGAGCAGTGGGGAAAAAAAAGTTAATGTGCATATATATTTGTAAAAAAGGACAAATAGGATGACATAGAGAGCTCATCATCTAATAAACCATCTTGTTAGTCTTTTAAGTGCTACATAGTCCTGTATTTTGCTACAGCTACTTTTCTATCATTATGTGTGGGTTATATATAGACTATGATCAAGTAATCCCTTAATCTTGTTTTAAGATAAATAGATAGACTCAAAGGATTCAATCACTATAAGACACATTATCTACTAGTTCAATCATTATTGTGGATCGTCTCTGAACCCGCTCCAATTTTTCCAATATTCTTCTTGAATTATGGGCATCAGAACTGGACATAGTATTCCAGCTCTTGTTCAGCTAATTATCCACCATAACCTCAATATCTTTTTATTTCAGAGACACTACTTCCCAGAATAGAATCTTCCATTCTGTAAATATAGCCCACAATATTGTTTTGATGTATACTTGTATAGTTAGTGGTGTTAAATAATGTATAGATTGTTTGCACTCAGTTTAGCAAATATCTAGATTACTCTGAATCACTGACCTCTCCACTTCATTATTTACCAATCCTCCAACTTCTGAATCATATGCAAACAGTGATAATTTTGTTTTCTTCCAGATCACTGCTAAAAATGTTACAGAGCTTAGTGCCAGAGCTTCCTGGCCTCACTGGAAACACACAAGGTTGGTGATTATTCTTTGTTTGCATTTTCAGATTTATTAGTTAGTCAGTATTTAATCCATTTAATTAGTATTGTATCACACATTAATTTTACATTGTTCTATTTTTATTATAAAAATGGCTTGTGGTATCAAGTCAAATGCCTTAGAGAAACCTTAGTATAGGACATCAGTACTATTACCTTTATCAACCAAATTTGTAATCTTATAAAAAAAAAGTCACGCTAATTTCACAGTATCTATTTTCCATAAAAGTTTATTGATTTATATTAAATACTTTATCCTTCTCTAATTCTTTATTGAGTCCTATACCAGCAGCTCCATTATCTTACCAGGGATCAATGTCAGGCTGACAGGCCTATCTATGAAACAAAATACAGGACTATGTAGCACTTTAAAAACTAACAAGATGGTTTATTAGATGATGAGCTCTCTATGTCATCCTATTTGTCCTTTTTTACAAATATATATGCACATTAACTTTTTTTTCCCCACTGCTCCAAGACTTACTGAAAATCAACATTAACAGGCCAATAAGCTCCTTTAGCCCACTCTCTTTAAACTCTTGAATGCAAGTTATCTAGAACTGCTGATTTTAAAATGTCTAACATTATTAACTTCTACTTAATGTTCTCCAGAGATACTAACAGAATGGGAATAGTGTTATCAACATATGATAAAAATATATTGCCTGTTTCACTCCAAATACATAACAAATATTTATTAAATATTTATGCCTAATTACTGATAATCAGGCCACTAACAGAGGAGGGGGTGGGCAAAGAAAGCAATTGCCCCAGAGCCTGGATAGTCAAAGAGGCCCAGAGGTCCCGGACCTCTTTGAATTGCCATGGGAGTATTGGAGTGCCAATCCGTCTGGCTCTGAGGGCTGTGTGTGTGGTGGGGAGGGCATTGTGATCTGGGAAGCACTAAGGGCTGACTGTCCTTTTTGGTGGCACAGAGCGAGGCACCCCTCTCCTCCACTACCACGCACCCCGGAGCCTGTGGTGGCTATCTGCTCTCTGCTGCTAATTCTACCACTTCCAATGTAATGAAAGTGGCAATGGATCAGTACTATTGTCAGGATTCTTTTTATTGCTACTATTTTTTTTTTAAAGAAAGCCCTCCTTCTTATTGTTCTAAATTCCCTTTTGTTTGTTTCTGCTCCTTCCCCCCCCACCACCTGTCTTTGCTTCCCATAGAACCCAGGTCAGTTTTTAAATAGTATAATATTCTTCCTCAGTTTTAGGATTATGGTTTTTAGATATCTAATCTTGTGTTTGTAAATTATTCTCAGCTGATTATTCTTTTAAGATTATTTTTTTAAATTGGTTCTATTGACACACCAAGCATATATAGTTACTCTGCTTGCGCATTATAAATGTGATCAAGTCATGATCACTTGTACCTAAATTTAACAAAGACTCTTTGAAAACAGCCATGAAGTAACACTGAGGGGAAAAAATTGTCCTTGGCACTTACAAACTTGCAAACTCCACTTCTCTTATGATGAAAAGATGTTTATATTCACTAAACTGTTGTATGCATCTATAGAGCAGAAACACAGTAACATGAGAGATAAGTACTAAATGTTTTGATACTAAAAATTTATTTTAAGTATTCTACAACCCTCTCCATGGGTGTCATACAATATTTAATGTATTTACCGTCATATTAGTAAGGACATGAACCTAGGTCTTTTATGTTTATAGTACAAAACAGACTATCCTTCTATTCTGGCCAACAAGACAGGTGAAACAGTCTCTGTGCATTAGTGGTTGTGTATACTTTACAGTAAAACTGGGATAAATCTGTTGAAACAAGAGGATTTCTTTCAGATATACTGGGGTTCCACATTTCCTGTGAGATGTGCACATTTCCACATCTGGACCTGTTCTTGTTGCATCTGCTTCATAAAGAAATAGAATGACATAATGATCAAAATCCCCTGCACTGCTTATAAACAGATGCCAGGAGCTATGCTATTTGATTCACAGTTGTCACTTGAAAACATACATCTTATGTATGATGTCATACAAATGATGTCACAGCTCTTGTTTGTCACAAATTCCTTTGAAGGCCCATGCCACTCACTGGTGGTAAAGAACAGTCACATCTTAGCCTATATTATATAGGGTTAGAAAAACACACACAAGCAAGTGTTGAGTCAAACTTGCAGAAGATGTATGATACCAGAAGGTACTTCACTTGATGGAGTACTGAGAAGCTTTTCATTGTTGTCTGATGATACAGAACTTATGTTTCAGCACTCGTCCCAGCTAAGTCACCTTTGGATTTGTCTTCCTCCAGTCAGAGGCTGTTAAATAAGTACAGCTCTCTCAAATCCACATGCTGTCTCAAACAGTGCTACTAGGATTCTGTGTAAGGCTGGGTTTTAAGCAGTTCCTGTGTGTGTGGTCTTTGGGGTATATATTTTCTCCTGCCTGCACATAGGAGGATATGGGCCAGAATCTCTTTTAGAAAGCTAAACAACTGAGGGCAGAGGGATTGTGATATCATGGAATCAGTTGTGCCTGTTTGATTATTTGTCCTGCCTTCAGACAAATTCCCACTTTTTAAAATCCCTTATGGCTATCTTAACAAAAATAAAAACAACACTTTACGAGCAGATTTTAGCATTGCACACTTCTCTTAAGATGCAGTTTGGAATTTCTGAAATTTAAGCTTTGATATTTGCAAACCTGGAATACCTCAACAGTAAGGTACATGATTTGTGATATGTGTTTTTAGTCTTGGGCTTCATGATAGGCCCAGTAAAAAAGTATCCTTTGATTGATAGTAAAGGGTGTACATTCATCAGTGCTGTGGTAAAAAAGGGCAAATGGCTTGCTATAGTTCAAATTGGGATCCTTATAATCAAATAAAAGTCTGACTTAATGCTATAAAGTAGGCCGTAAGATATAGGCTAATGAAAAATTTATTAAAGGAATCAAAAGAAGATGAAATGATGTGTTTATTATTTTCCCTTACTATTCACTCCCTTAAGGTAATGATTATTTATAGAATATGAAAGTTTCAAACTAGCAATAAAAATAACTTATTATCTAAGTAAGCCATAAGCATAAATGATAAGCAAATATAGTTTTTAATCACTTCAGTGTCTTTATATTAGAAATAATTTATGATTCCTGAAATAAAGTTATCCTAAGAAGGAAAAGATATTGAACCTGACTATGCCTAACTTGTCTCCTCAAGGCATTTTTACTTAAAAGTGCTTCTACTGAATGCACTTAAACATACAACTTTAATAAATGGAAACGCAACACTTATTTAAAATGCAGTTACTAAGGATAAATAGCCACCAGACTTACAGAAAATTATACATTCAGGGTCAAATACAAATGTGATATAGAACCATATAATTTATATGCAATGGGATTAGTAAAATCATAAGCAGAAATTAACAGTAAGGAGCAAAATTCACATACACCCCTCAACCAACAACACACACAATTCCTTTTATACCTTCTTCATTGCTTTTTCCTATCTGCTAATTTCTGCCACTCTGTCGCCCTTATGCCTCGTGAAACGAGGTTTAGAGGAGAGGTTGAAAAAGGTGTTCCCTGTCGACTGATCTGCATCTTGACTGCTGTGCTGTGCCGACGATCAGCTGAGCTGGGACAGCATGGCAGACATTTTTATTTTAATGAAGCTGCGGATATTTAAATCCCCGCTTCACTGACTATGTCAGATAGTCTAATTTACATGCCTCTGTTGGCAGAGGCATGTAGTCTAGACATACCTTGAGAGAATATAAGGGCTGGGGATAGCAAGTGATGGAGAGGAGGAGAACAGAGAGGGTGGGGCTTCAAGGAAGGGGTGGGATCTTGGGGGACGGATGGGGTGGTAGATCTTTGCTTGTTCTGAGATTTAAAAAGTGATCTTGGGTGTAAAAAGGTTGGAAACCACTGGGGTAGAGCAAGGTGCCAAATCTCTCCTGCTCCTGCCATTCATGTGGTGAATAGGAAGGAGAGGAGCAATCCCTACTGTCACTGCACCAGCCCCATAATCCCCCAGACTGCATTACTCAAGGGAGGGGGCAACGGGTGAGTAAGGATTGAGCAGGAATTGGAGGCTCGAGGAAGAGGTGAGGCGGGAGCAGGACCTATAGCAGGGAGGTTGCCCTGGGGCAGAGGGGTATCCTTAGGACCCACATCCACCTAAAGCTGGCCCTGCTTGTACTATTAGCTACCTATCAAAAAGTGCTTTGGATAAAAGTACTATATAAAAAATAAACATTTTTGGTTTACAAATAAAATCACACAACACACATTTTAATATCAGTAGTTTTACTTTTCTAATGTTATCAATTTGTCTGTTTTTATGAGTAAAGTTGGGTGCAATGTTTTTCAGCTTTAGCCATATATCAGGGTCAGCCATCATCTTGCTTCTGTATTTGGACTTGAGGGCAGTAAGTGAGGAAAATCCTGTCTTGCAGAGGAACATAATAACAAACGGCATCAGAAAAGGCACTGCTTTGAATTAAGGTGCATCTTTTAAATTCTGACCATAATATTTCATCACAAGAAAGCTTCAACAAGCATTTTTGTGTTTTATTGGATTAACCAGAGGGTTTCAATTACTAAAAATTACATATCCAGTTGTTTGGTTCAACTTCTGCTAGAAAGTAATCTGCCAACTCTTGCTTAAAAACAACAAGATGTTCTCCAATATCACTCTTTATTGTCTTATCAAGAGACATTTCATTTTCAGACAGATGTTTGGAATGCACTGATATCATCCTTTTTTTACATGATGAGCAAACTAGTCAACTTTATTGATCATTGTATTGATTTTGTCTCAGGGTATGTCTACACTACCCTGCTAGTTCGAACTAGCGGGGGTAATGTAGTCATCCACAGTTGCAAATGAAGCCCGGGATTTGAATTTCCCGGGCTTCATTTGCATGAAGCCGGCCGGCGCCATTTTTAAATGCCGGCTAGTTCGAACTCCGTGCCGCGCGGCTACACGTGGCACGGAGT